TGACAGCACTAAACAGGCCATCATGACAGAAAGTCAACAAAGAAACAATGGATTTAAACTATACCCTAGAACGAATGGACTTAACAGATATTTACAGAACATTCTACCCAACAACTGCAGAATATACATTCCATTCATCAGTGCATGGAACTCTCTCCAAGATAGACCATGTGATAGGCCACAAAACAAGCCTCAATACGTTTAAGAAAGCTGACATTATATTAAGTACTCTCTCAGACCACAGTGGAATAAAACTGGAAATTAACTTCAAAAAGAACCTTCAAAGCCATGCAAATACATGGAAATTAAATAATCTCCTCCTGAACGATCATTGGGTCAACAATGAAATCAATGGAAATTTTAAAATTCTTTGAACTAAACAATAATAGTAACACAACCTATAAAAATCTCTGGATACAGCAAATGTGATGCTAGCAGGAAAGTTCATACTCTTACATACCTATATCAAAAAGTCTGAAAGAGCACAAATAGACAATCTAAGGTCACACCTCAAGGAACTAGAGAAAAAAGACCAAACCAAACCCAAACCCAAACCCGGCAGAAAAAAAGGGAATAAAAATCAGAACAGAACTAAATGAAATTGAAACAAAAAAGAAATACAAAAATAAATGAATAAAAATCTGGTTCTTTGAAAAGATAAATAAAATTAATAGACCATTAGCAAGATTAACCAAGAAGAGAGAAGATCCAAATAAGCTCAACTGGAAAAAAAAAAAAATGAGAGACATTACAATCAACACCACAGAAATACAAAACATCATTCAAGGCTAGAATGAACACCTTTACCTACATAAACTGGAAAACCTAAAGGAGATGGATAAATTCCTAGAAATACACAACCCTCCTAACTTAAATCAGGAAGAATTAGAAACCCTGAACAGAACAGTAACAAGCAGTGAGAATGAAATTATATTTTAAAAATCACCAGCCAAAAAATGTCCAGAACCTAGCAGATTCACAGCTGAATCCTAGCAGACATTCAAAGAGTTGGTACCAATCCTACTGACACTATTCCACAAGATACAGAAAGAGGGAATCCTCCCTAAATGATTCTAGGAAGCCAGTAGCACCCTAATATGAAAACAAGGGAAGGGCATAACAAAAAAAAAATACAGACCAATATCCCTAATGAACACAGATGCAAAAATCCTTAACAAAATGTTAGCTAACCAGATCCAACAGCATATCAAAAAGATAATCCACCATGATCAAATGGGTTGCATACCAGGGATGCAAGAATGGTTTAAGATATGCAAGTCAATAAATACAATACACCACATAAACAGAATTAAAAACAAAAATCACGTGATAAACACAATAGATGCAGAAAAAGTATTTGACAAAATCCAATATCCTTTATGATTAAAACCCTCAGCAAAATTGGCATACAAGCAACATACCTCAATGCAATAAAAGCCACCTATGACAAACCCACAGCCAACATACTACAGAACGAGAAAAAGTTAAAAGTATTCCCTCTGAGAACTGGAACAAGACAAGGATGCCCACTCTCAACACTTCTATTCAACATAGTACTGGAAGTCCTAGCCAGAGCAATCAGACAAGAGAAATAAATCAAGCGCATCCAAATCAGTAAAAAGGAAGTCAAACCTGTTGCTGTTTGCTGATGATATGATTGTATACTTACAAAACCCTAAAGACTCCTTTAGAAAGCTCCTAGAACTGATAAACGAATTCAACAAAATTTCAGGATACAAAATTAATGTACACAAATTAGTAGCTCTGCTAAACACCAACAGTGATCACGCTAAGAATCAAATAAAAAACTCAACCCCTTTTACAGTAGCTGCAAAAATAAAATAAAATAAAATATTTAGGAATACCTAAGCAAGGAGGCAAAAGACCTCTACAAGGAAAACTACAAAATACTGCTGAAAGAAATTGCAGTTCACACAAACAAATGGAAACACATCCCATGTTCATGGATGGGTAGAATCAATGCTGTGAAAATGACCATACTGCCAAAAGCAATCTACAAATTCAATGCAATTCCCATCAAAATACCACCATCATTCTTCACAGAACTAGAAAAATCATACAAAACCAAAAAAGAGCCTGCACAGATAAAGCAAGACTAAGCAAAAAGAACCAATCTGGAAGCATTACATTACCCAATTTCAAACTATATCATAAAGCCATAATCACCAAAACAGCATGGTACTAGTATAAAAACAGGCACATAAACCAATGGAACAGAATAGAAAACCCGGAGATAAACCTAAATACTTACAGCCAACTGATCTTTGACAAAGCAAACAAAAACATAAAGTGAGGAAAGGACATCCTATTCAACAAAAGGTGCTGGGATCACTGGCAAGCCACATGTAGAAGAATGAAACTGGATCCTCATTTCTCACATTATACAAAATTCTACTCAAGATGGATCAAGGAGTTAAATCTAAGACCCAAAACTATAAAAATTCTAGAAGATCATTGGAAAAACCCTTCCAGATATTGGCTTAGGCAAGGATTTCATGACCAAGAACCCAAAAGCAAATGCAATAAAAACAAAGATAAATAGGTAGGACTTAATTAAACTAAAAAGCTTTTGCGTGGCAAAAGGAAAAGTCAGCAGAGTAAACAGACAACCCACAGAGTGGGAGAAAATCTTCACAATCTATACATCTGACAAAGGACTAATATCCAGAATCTAAAACAAACTCAAACAAATTAGCAAGAGAAGAACAATCCCATCAAGAAGTGGGCTAGGGACATGAATAAACAATTCTCAAAAGACATATAAATGGCCAACAAACATGAAAAAAAGCTCAACATCACTAATAATCAAGGAAATTCAAATCAAAACCACAATGTGATACCACCTCACTCCTACAAGAATAGCCATAATCAAAAAATAATAGATGTTGGTATGGATGCGGTGAAAAGAGAACACTTCTACAATGCTGGTGGGAATGTAAACTAGTACAACCACTATGGAAAACAGTGTGGAGATTCTTTAAAAAACTAAAAGTAGAACTACTACTTGATTCAGCAATCCCATTACTGGGTATCTACCCATAGACAAAGAAGTCATTATATGAAAAAGATACTTGGACATCCTTGTTTATATAAGCACAATTCCCAGTTGCAAAAATGTGGAACCAACCCAAATATCTATCTATCAACGGGTGAATAAACTGATATATATATGATGGAATACTACTCAGCCACAAAAAGGAATGAATTAATAGCATTCACAGCAACCTGGATAGGATTAGAGACTATTATTCTAAGTGAAGTAACTCAGGAATGGATAACCAAATATCGTATGTTCTCACTCGTAAGTGGGAGCTAAGCTATGAGGATGTTAAGGCATAAGAATGATACAAGGGACTTTGAGGATTCTGGGGAAATTGTAGGAAGTGAGTGAGGGATAAAAGGTTACAAATTGGGTTCAGTGTATAATGCTGTGGTGATGGGTGCACCAAAATCTCACAAATCACTACTAAAGAACTTACTCATGTAAGCAAACACCACCTGTTCCCCAAAAACCTATGGAAATAAAAAATTAAAAGAAAAAAAATAAAAGAAAGAAAGAAAAAAAAAGAAAAGAAAAATGAATGAGAAAGCACTCAATGAACTGATGCAGGAAGAACTCCAAGATATAGTGATAAGTGAAGACTGAGGTGCAGAATACTGCTACTCACCTGTACACTTTCATTTGTCATAAACACACTTATTTGCATAGAGAAAATAATGAAGGATTCTCAAGAAAACAGTGTAAGTGTTTTCCCATGGGAGAAAGGGGAATGAGGCAGATTGGAGCAGAAGTAGGAAGAAGACTGTCTTCCATATACCTCTTTATATTTTTGGGTTTTGAGCGATGTAAATCTATTATTTCCCCCGCAAAAATATTTTCAGTTCTTTTTAAGTAGAATTTGAGTGTGTACCACAATGTGATTCTCAAAAAACTCATTAAAATTACATTACTCCAAGAGTTTGAAACCATTATAAAATCAACAAAACCTTTCAATGGCCCTGATATGAATACATATGCAATGAATTTTATTAGCATATAAATATAAGAGAATGAATAAATACATTCTAAAACAATGCATTGTTCAAATGAAAATGTAGCAGTTACCTGCTTTATCAGTTGTCCTAAAAACATTTTCTCTTAGGTAGTAAATTGGACAGGTACATTTAAATATATCGTTTCAGATCAGTGAAATGGTCCTAAAAATGGAGTTTATGGACAGTCGCAGGGTGTCAAAATCATCTATGGTGACAGTGCTATGGGGAATATAACTAATACAATTATATATCATTTTTGGCTTGACACAAAATTATGTTCTTTTGCTTGCCCTATATCAACTTATTTAGGGAAATCATCCTTTTACTATTCTCTCTCTTTATCTGCCTCTCTCTCTCTCTCTCTCTCACACACACACACACACACACACACACACACACACACATTTTGTGTAATTTAAGTGCAGCTGTCAATCAAGTGGCCCACCTCCCCTGCCTCAGAAGTAGCAAATGTTGACTGGTGTATTCCATTCTCCCAGCTACCTGGATTCCAGGGGTGAACGTAAGACCAAAGTTTGGCCAATCAGAGCCATTGGATAAGCAGTAGAGACTGTTATAGATGAATGAAACAAGAGGGTTTCTGTACTTTTGAAATTACAAGCTCTAAGAATCAGATATGCCTATAGCTGCCAGGGCATGTTACATGCCAGGGGCATTTTGAAAATGAACCCAACTTAGTGAAGACAACAGGGAAATTAATAAAATGAAATTAATCATGATATTATTGGTGAACACTGGATCCAGCCATGCCCTAAGCCAGTCCACCTTTGGATTTATTAACTTCATGAGCCAATGAATTCCCTTTTGTTGCCATTTTGAAACACAGTGCAACTGTTCCTCAATAAAATCTTTATGATTAGTACCTGTACATATTCCAGAGTTTCTTTGGAAACTCTGGTCTTTCTTGGGATTATGTCTTAATTTACCTGGAAAATTTAGACAGTGTAGACTACGAAATTTAGGAGATTCAGAGAAATTCTTCATGTGATTAATGAATCTGGAGCAGGTCACTGAAGTTCTTTCATAACAAGGGATGTTCTGTAAGATAGAGGAGAAAAATACACAAAATAAAATTAGGTTAATGGCTCCAAAATAATTCATGCCACCTAGCACTCTTACTTCCCTAAAGTGAGTGATATTTTTAAAATATTTTTGTTTCTTTATTCTTTAAATGAAACAATCCTGAAAACAATCACAGTTAACTCTAGTTACCTTTACATGCACATTCCTCTTATGTATTCATTAAAGAGGCTAATTAACTTAATTATTTGTTCATTGAAAAAAATCTTATTCAGTTACACTATATGCTAGATATTATTCTAGGTAGTGGGAATACAAGAGGCGAAGTCTCTGCCCTTATGAAATTGACATATTAGGGGAGAGTGACAAAAAATAAACAAATATCTACAATAGATTGGATGGTGATTTTTCTGTTGCTAAGATGAAAAACATAAAATAAGAGATATCTTCTCAGACAAGGTGACATGAAAACAAAGATTCACTGGCACAGATGGAGTAGCCATGTGAGGTCTTGGATGAGAGTCATTCCGAGCACTGGGAACAGCCAGTGTGTGAAAGAATGGAGAGGCAGCGGGTAGGGAAAGGGGTCAGAAGGTAGGGGAGAGGAGGCTCTTAAATCAAGCTTTGTCACCTTGAAATAGCAAAAACAGAAAATAAAGAGGAGAAAGAGCTACAAATATCTTGGTTAAATAATATGAAATAAGGTCATAAGTAAGGATCCAATTTGATTTAAATCAAAAACTATTCATTCTAAAACCTAAAACTATAAAAACCCAGAAAGATAACCTAGGGAATACCATTCTGAACATAGAACTTCGCAAAGATTTCATGAGAAAGACACCAAAAGCAATTGCAACAAAAACAAAAATTGAAAAACGGGATCTAATTAAACTAAATAGCTTCTACACAGGAAAAGAAAAAACAGACAACCTACAGAATAGGAGAAAATATTCGCAAACTATGCTTCCAACAAAGGTCTAATACCCAGAATCTATGAGGAACTGAAACAAATTTACAAGCAAAAAACAAACAACTCCATTAAAAAGTGGACAAAGGACCTGAACAGAAACTTTTCAAAATAAGACATACATGTGGCCGACAAGCACATGAAAAAATGCTCAACATCACTAATCGTTAGAGAAATGCAAATCAAAACTACAATGAAATACCATCTCACACCAGTTAGAACGGCTATTACTAAAAAGTCAAAGAATAACAGATGCGAGATTGCAGAGAAAAGGGAACACTTATATACTGCTGGTGGGAGTGTAATTTAGTTCAGTCATTGTGGAAAGCAGTATGGCAATTTCTCAAAGAACTTAAAACGAATTATCATTTGATTCAGCAATCATATTATTGGATATATATACTCAAAAGAATATAAATCATTCTAACATAAAGATATATGCACATGTGTCTTCATTGCAGCACTATTCACAACAGCAAAGACATGGAATCAACCCAAATGCCTATCAATGTTGGACTGGATAAAGAAAATGTGATACATATACACCATGGAATACTGTGCAGCCATAAAAAAGAATGAGATCATGTTTTTTGCACCAATATGGATGAAGCTGGAGGCCATTATCTGAAGCAAACTAACACAGGAACAGAAGCCCAAATACCATATCTTCTCACTTATAAGTGGAAGCTAAACAACAAAAAACATAGATACTAGAAGGGAAACAAGAGGCACTAGGGCCTACTTGAGGGTGGAGTAGGGGAGGAGGGAAAGAATCAGAAAAAATACCTGATGGGATACTATGCTTATTACCTGGTAAGGAAGTTATCTGTACACCAAACCCCTGTGGGTGTACACAGTTCACCATATAATAAACCTGCGCATGTACTCCTGAACTAAAATAAAAGTTAAAAAATAATAATATAGATAAATAAAAACCAGTCATTAAACATGTAATCAGAACCAACTTCCCATTGGTTTGATGTGTAATTTTTATTGTTTGGATATGATTAGATATTATCGATTCAGGTGATTTGGATATTGTATAAATTTGGATATTGGATATTAATGTATGGCTAGTACTGTTTGGATATTGTGAATATTATGTGTTCAGGATAGCATTAATTTACTGAGTCTGTACAAGGTCAACTCATCCCTGCATGAGCAATAGTATCTTACTGAAAGGGTAAGGTTTTCATCTTGTCACTTCACACGGCCTATCACTCACCCAACTCTACCCGCTCCCTGAGGAAAAGGTTTGTGTCTCAAGCCAGAAACTGTAAGCTAAGTGAGAGGGTCCTAGGAAGGCACTGGAGTGGGAACTCTCTCTTTTCCATAACTGTGGATCAAGGAGGCAGAGATGGAAGCTTAAGAAGATACACACCTCTTAAATGGCAGGAGGCAGCTGGGACTTGAGAGACCCAGTCCAGTTGTACCAGTCATGGAGCATGGGAGATTAACTAAGGAAGGGTCAGAAACCTATACTTTATAAGACTTTTTTGCTGCTAGCATTTTCTTTCTTTATGTTTGCTTGATATTGAGTAGAGTCTTCTTTAAAAATCATCACAAATGAGCTAAAATAAGTGAAAGGGAGAGAATTTCCACCATTTTAAAGAGAGAAGAGTACCACAGGAACAGCAGTGATTCCAAGAGAGGGCTTGAGAGAAAGTGAAATGAGAGAAAAACTGTTTTCCTGACTTGGTTAGAGCCACCGTCCATCTGGACAGTATGTGGGCATGGGCAATCTTGGAGGTGATAACTCAGAGCATGGGCTGTAGAATCATGTAGGTCCACATCCAAGCCGCATCTCCACACGCCGCTCTCTGTACAAGCCGGGGCAACTTACCTTCTCTATTCCTGTTTCCACCTTTACAAAATGGGGCGAATGCTATCCCACAACAACTATTACCCCCATTTTACAGATAAAAAACTAAGTAACTTATCAAAGCTATACAAGTACTAAGTATTGAAAGCAAGTCTCAAATCCACTCTTTCCTACTCTAACGCCCATGTTTTTAACCCCATTCCATACTGCTTCCCCATTTTAGAATAAGCACAATGTAAGTATTCAAAAAGAACCTAGAAGATCACCGTGGCCTCCTCACAGTCAGCAACCTAAGTGTCCAAAACAGAAAGCATCCAAAACAGAAAGTGTCCAACGTAAGTGTCCAAAACAGAAACTAGAAGATCACCCTGGGCTCCACTTCCTCCCTTATCCCTCAGATCTATGCACAACCATTTCCTGTCAACCTCACCCTCTCAATGTCCTCCAGTCCCATTCCCATATCTGCAGTCCTCTGCCACCTATTAGCATCTCCATCCACATCCCTGCTTGCAGTTCACCTCCATTGAATTTTCTTTCTCGCATTATCTTTCTAAAACCTAAGTTTAAATATGGCACTGGCCTTCTTAATAGTGTTCATTGATTTCCCACCATTTAAACAGTGGTTCTCAAACTGTACCATGCATAAAAATCACCTGGTGAAGATGTTAAAATGCAAATTTTGATTCACGTATGTCTAAGGGGATAAGCCCAGGCATGTGCACTCTTAGCAGTCATCCTGGGTGACAGATACAAGTGATCAACTTCTCGTTTCTCCAAGTGTGGCTCAGGACCCAGCATCACCAACATCACCTAGGAGCTTGTTAGATATGAAGATTCTCTGGCCTCACCCTAAAACCTACTGGATCAGGATCTGAATTTTAACAAATCCCCAGCCCATCATACTCTGACCTAAAGAACGAAATGCAAAACTGCAAAACTCTATGGTATAGGAGGCTGGTCATGACCCACCATCTATTTATCTCTTGCCCCCAACCCCATCTCACAGGACTCTCCCCTCTGTGATCCAAGTGTGACAAAGTAGGAAAACTGAGGCACCAAAAAGCTACGGCAGTGAGTCTCAGTTTCTTCATCTTGGTCAGCCCAATGCCTAGCACAGTCCCTGTTATGTGCATCCTGCTGCTTCATTGATATGTTTTGAATTTGACTGAATGGAATTAATATATGTTTTAAAACAAATGTTGAAATGCAGTATTATATTCAAATTGCACCTTTCATCAGGGTATGATTTACTGAAATGAAAAGGAATGAATGCAGACAAAGACACTCCATATCATGGACCTGATGCATTTTACTCCTTAAAACACCTTACATTTCTTCGTTGAGCAGAGGAGACAGGTACTGATTCCTCTCTGTGAAGACACTGTGGCTTTCAGTTGATTCACTGCCTGAAGTCAAACCCATGCTCTATATATGAAAGCACAACCCCACCTTCTTTTTTAAGATGAGCAAACTTTCACCACAAAGATACAAGAACAGTAAATATTGATCTTCTGGACGGATGGCGCACCTCACGCCACAGGCCACTCAAGCATCTGCTCATTACCACCAGCCCTCCCCTTTGTTGGGAAATAATGCCAAGTGGCCTCATGTGCTATCGGCTGTAGATTGCAAATATTTAAAAGAAATAAATTTCTCTGAATGAAAAGCACCTTTCTTTGTTATCTAACCCCCTCTCCTCCCAAGTCATGTTGATTTTGGGGTTGTGCACACTCCCAGCACCTGTACTTTTCAATTGTTTGCCTGCCAAGAACAGTGTGGTTTTCTTGCTTGGTTTTAGAAGCCATTCTAAGTACAGTAGCCAATGAAGGCATATTTTCTTTCTCTCTTGGCAATATGTAAAGGAAGTTTCAACTTTAGGACACCTAGCAGCAACTGTAATTAGAGGACAAGGAAAGAAATTGGAGTTTCTCCATCTCAGTATTTGTCCCACATGATCATGAAAAATGTACCACCCCTGCAGACCAAAACCAAAAGTGTAGGTTTCTTCAACAGTCTTATTATTTGGCAGAAAGTTTTCTAAATTGGTTTTGCTGAAATCCAGAATCATTCTTTAGGGGAAAAGTAAGATCTGGACAATAAGACAAGAATGGAATTTCAGCAAGTGGAAAATCAATTTGTGATTGAGAATAGCCACTAGGTATACAAATCCAAGTGTCTGAATATATAAATGTTGGATCAAACTATTATTTCCTCTACGTGGAGCATTAT